GGGGGTAAATTGATTTTCAATCGTGCCGGAAATATGCACGCATTCCCTCTCATCACCCCACTACTCACACCTAAACTCTACACACACACTCAATATTATATAATATACATACTTCGTCCTGCAGCAGGTCCTATACAGCAGGCATTATCCCTCCGCGGGCAAATCTTATTATATTTTCATCTTCYCTCGCRCTAGCTGATGMGGCGATGTTCGCAGCGGATGAGCAGAGGTGTGCGAGCGCCGTATAACAGCAGCGACCATCACTCGTCGGGCGGGGACRAGGGTAAGAAATAAAAGTAATGCGATCTAGGTTATGTTTCCCCCCCCTTACAACCCCTTACTACCCACTAACCCCCTCGAGGAGCGTGCGCCGCTTGTCGAACGGCGGGAGCGACGTATAGGCGCCACAGATGCCTAGCGGTGGCGTCGCGTTGACCGCCGTGGGGGTAGGCGTGGCCAGCGACTTCGGCGCGTCGGCGGCGGCTTATCGAACGCGCACGCGGCGCAACTGGTCGGGAGCCCTCACTTACGCCGCCACTGACGCCGCGAAGTACGTCGTCGTCTCGATGTCCCGGCACCACCGCGTAGTCGCACCACCGTAGTCATATGGCTACACGACGACCACCACGACGGTGGCCACCGGCTGCCGCGATAATCATCGCAGCCGTTTTCATCACGGCCGTACCCCATCTGGCCGCCGCCCAAAACGCAGTCAAAGACAAATCGGGTAAGGTCGATGGTATATTATAATAATATATTAATGAGAAATTAATAAATAATTGCTATGTTTACATCATTATAATATTATAATTATATTAGAAATAGTATATATATATTGGTATACCTGTACAAATACAAAAGTGACGCTTATTCTGTCTTATTTACATATAATTATGCTATACGTATGTAATAAGGCGACGGAGAATTAAATAATTTAGTATAGGAGAGTACAAAAAAAAAGATACCTATAACATTATAAGTATATTCATTTTTAACCGATCGTCGTTCTTCTTTGTCCGGCGTCATCAGTGATGTATAAATTTCGTAGTGTACAACACTTCCCATCCGTAGGCCACAGCATTCGCTCCGGTGCACAGTCCGCTGATGAGACGCAATCCCCAAAGCTCATCGTAACCGAAAACGTCTTTGATGGTGAAAACCGCCGACACCAAGTGCATGACCACTGCCACGCACGCCGAGTATAGGCTCTAGAAAAACGATAACGTCCGATGTAGTGACAATAAACATCATTGACTGTGTAATAAATATATGCAGTACGACAACAATTACAGTGACCAAATCCGAGCACGTGAGTACTCGGCCGAGGGGCAGTGAACATAACATTAAATTTGAAACCGATCTGGTCATTTGATTTTCAGTACGACTMGGTCCAATTATTACCTATTTAGAAATGTTTAATTTGGAAGCCCCTCACTAATCAGACAGTTTTCCGAAAGCAATTAAGAGCTTTCTCTCTATATAGGGTATAT